AGTTCGGTCCCAATCGTCCCCAAAGCGTTATGCTCCGTTATACTTCGACATCTGATTCGTTTAAGAGAGACAGATATTCGTGAACAACAAGCGAGATTCCGTCTGGTCGTGCACGTATTGATCAAATTTTTACTTTCAGCTATGTCACATCCACAGTCGACCGTTGATTGCAGTGTTCCTTAACTTTAAAGGAGCCGTCGACTCAACTGAGTTCAAAACTGTAATGGGTTCCTTTTGTCGAAAAAGAATACTTTAGAAGTACGTTAACCTACTGAGGTCACTATACTTACATACCTCCGGTCGAGTGAGGGCCGTTCGTCAAGGTTACCTTATTTCGTCCTAGACAAAATTCCGGAGAACGTACTAAGTGGTCTCCAAAACGTAGGGATTGAATAGGCAGCTGCAGAAAAGCTGTGATTCAGAGTACACCAATGGATGCGTCTGTTCGAATCTATGGAGGGTGCCCAAAGCGCACTTGACAGACTAACAAATTCTGTTGTTCCGCTCGGTATGTGCTTTGCATCCTCAAAGTGCAAAGTGATGCTGCAAGACTGGGTGTTGCCCACTCCCACTTTTAAACTAACTGGCCAGGAATTAGTTTTAGAGGATTGCTTTTCCTACTTGGGTGGTTGTGTAACCAATGTTGGTACCCCAGCGAAGGGGATAACCGCCTGCATTTCCAAGGCTCGAGAAGCGTACGCAGGACTGAAACGACTTTGCTGTAGATGCGACGTTTCACTGAAGTTGAAAGGTCATATATAGTGCAACCGTTCGTTCAGTTCTACTTTATGGTTGCGAGACCTTGGTTTAGCTAGTCGAAGATATCCATAGACTAGCATTTTGTTCAGGTGTAAACATCTCGCACGATATAAATAAGAATAGACGAATAGGAGTTTGCTGGGAATTCAAGTAAAGCCACACGATATATCTGAAGAACGTCTTCGTTGATACGTCAGAAACGAGATCCCAAACTATCAAAAAACTTTTCAAGGTCAAGTTGATTAGGGAAACTGAGATGATAAAATACACTCGTTTCTCTCGTCAGGGTGCTACTACTGTAGTAATCAAAACAGGTGAACGGTTCCGTACTCAGAATAGGTTAGACATTCGAGAAAACGAAAAAATGCCCAAAACAATAGTAATTTTGAATTGAGAAAGACACGAGGCCCCAATCCGAAGACACACATACAGATGGTGAGTTGGTTGTCTGCAACAAACCGCGTTCGAAGTGCGCGCTCGCGTGTGTATACGCGCGAATGTTCAGGAAATGGTGACTGGTAGGGAACTGATAGGACTAATCCCACGGGAAACGTAAATCAACAGTGTTTTCGTGTGGCACCGTGACGGAATTGCCTGTGTGTGGAAATTACAATGTGTGTGTGTGTGTACAACAGACGGGTGGGGGTTGCGCCAGGAGAAGAGTATACCTAAGCGCATTGAAACCGTATGAACGAGCCCCGCAGGACCGATACGAATGAGTTACGATGTGGACGAAACGGGAACGAAGAGGGTTAAGAGATTATGCGAGAAACAAACGCCAGGATACGGATGATGGTGATTATGATGATAATGATCAGTATCAATGGTGCATATTAGGAACATTTGGTAAAACGAACACCACTAACAATATTTATTTATTCAAAAATCAGGAAAAAACATGAACCCAGGTAATAGAATGTGAGTTTCGTGCTAAAAGGATAGGGTGGAGATAAACACCAGCTGGTGAACAGACACACATTCCGGTAGGTGACAGAACAATCCAGAAATGAAATAACACCTCGAAAATCGCCAGGAAGTGAAAACTCACATGCTTTTGTTAGTTGTGCCTGAACACGGCGTTTAAGCAACTCCTGCGGGGTAATGCGAGGTGTGACTCCTCCAGGACCAACACCACTGCCACCAGTATTTGTGGATGGTGTCTATATTCGAACGATTGCAATTTCGTGACCGGGAAAAGGGTCAAGGAAAAAGAGAGAAACATAATTTAGAAAAAAATACAAGTTCCATAGAACCAAATATGAAAAAATGAACACACGTAAGAGAAGAAAGCAAGGTACTTTGATTAATGAGACACGTGATGGACGGAGATTATTGTGTAGTGGAAGGATTAGAAACTTTTGACTTGCAATTACTCTCTACTGCAGAGCAGGTAGTAGTAGTATGATTGTGAAAAGAAAAATATCGAGAGTATTAGGCTCACAAGTTGGTTATGTCACCAACAGTGATCGAAACATGTGACCACGGAGTAATCCTATTGGAATCCACATATCAACCGAGTGTATCGAGAAAACAAACGAGTTTTGAATACTTTAGCTCATTGTCTGACATAAACGCCAAATCAGGTTGTTGATTTTAGGGTGCGATCGATATCTACCTACTACATGAAGTATCATTTTTATGCGGTCAGGAAAATTTTGTTAACGGACAAGGTGATCGTGTGATGTCAAATGGGAAAACTCTGCAAATCTTTCTAACCAACAACCTCTGGTGGCAGTTGGCCTTGAGGTTATTTAAGGTGACCTAGTCGCACATCAAATATATAGAGAATGACAATTGAAAACAAAACCCCGATAGGAGAAACAAGCTGTTTTTCGATAAAGTCATCGAGTGGCCCTTATAGATTCATACAGATAGAACATTTGATATTGTTTGATCACGTGCGAGGTGGATCTTATTATCTTATGTACAAAGTGATGGTACGTGAGTCAACAATTTGATTGAGCTTCCCCCCTGGGTTACGACGTTCTTCCAGTTACCACGATCGTCTTGGTTGGTCGCTTGGCAACTGGCCACGGTAGAGATAATGTTTGGATGAAACGCTTCTGAGTGCACAGTTTGATCGCAATACGATAAATGGTTCTAAAGGTCCGACTTACGTTCACTTGACAATTAACTTCGAGTAGGTGTTGGCATATTGCAATATTAAATGCCCTATCTATATAAACGCATATGGCCAGTTGATGAATTTATCCGAAAACAGCTTGTTTCGCCCATCGGATTTTATTTTCCATGTTAGAATGACAACTGTTCACGTTATTTCTCTCACCCACCAAAAACACATGAAGGCTAGCGCTAACGAAAATTATCCATTTAAGCAATAGCATAATAGCCAGTAGCATCGATCTGAATAAATCCCCACGAAAGAGATGAACAAGTAAGCTCAATTTATGAGTTTCTTTGTGTTTGTGGTGCGTTATGAGCATGTATATATGTATGGTCAATTATGAGGGCTTTACCGTTCGGAGAGCCATACTAGATTTTGTCTATTTTGTACACAGTTTTGACTCAACCTGTTTTAGACTGGTGGCTAAATAAATAAAATGTGCACCATTATCACGAATACCGTGTAGTGCTCTGACAGCAGTTTCGAATTCGCATCTGGTAAGATCACGAGGTGGAAAATTGCCTAAGAGATGCGGTGAAAACGTTTGAATACCCTTCGCTAATGTACTTCAGCCAATCCCAGAGTTCGTCGGTTTCGTGGAGAAATTCACGAAGATTCTCGGGATTAATGACACAAAGTAGCAGTTCCGGTGCCTAAACAGTTGCGAGCACACAATTTTCTACTGGTCGTGGTTACAATTTCAGTCAACAACAACAACAACAACAACGACGACGACATCTGCAGTAGCAGTAGCAACAACAACAACAGAATTTAGAGGTCGAGCGGTTATGGAAAAAAAAGAAAATGAAACAGCATCGCATCATCACTCGAGATCAGTGTGTCATATTGTGACAGATATGCATAAGATTGTGGATAGGGATGAAGATAGGATCCTATCACACGATAAAGTCGACTGACTTTGGTCATGGAGCTGGCGTTATGCTCGCCACTGATCGATTGAGCAGTCATCATCTTACCCGCGATGTTGTGTGAATCCGGACCGTGCCTAAATAGAAACAGAATAGATAGGAGAAGAAAAAAGGGACAGCGGAGAGAGAGAGGGGGTGGGTGAGTCAAGGACAAGAAACCAGATATGTGCTCTTCTTCATGTGTACTGTAAACAGCATAGCTATTTTATTTACAAACAAATGTTTTAGAGAATTGTTCAATAATGAAGAATAATAGAGAGTCACCCTGAAAGAAAAACACCAACATTGGTTTCCAGAATACCTTTTTAGAAAATTCAATCATTCCACCATACCAGGCTCGAGGATTTGTTAACCAAAATCCGCAAAACAACAGGCTG